GCATGGACACCACGAGGACAATGACGGCATGTACGACGGCGCGGAGGCGAGGCAGACTTGGGCCAACAAGGCGCAGTTCGTGCTGGCGTGCATCGGGTACGCCGTCGGGCTGGGCAACCTGTGGCGGTTCCCCTACTTGTGCTACAAGAGCGGTGGAGGTGAGGTCTTCGCACGAGTGGCACGGTGGGAAATGGTGGGCTTATTGGAGAAACATAGGCATAGCCCGGGTGAGGCTAGGCTTCGCATATCGGACTTATCCTTATCCTTAAGAAGCGAGAGGCAGAGTTCATTTCATGGAATGAATGGGAGAACGGGATTGGATGGACAAGAGGGAGAGACAGGGAGGGAGGAAGAGAACAGGGGAGAAAGAGAGAGGGGTAGAAAAGGCATGGGAGAGAGGAAAAAACAGGAAATGAGAGAGATGGTGAGCGATAGACAGATAAAATAACTAAGTTGGGAGAGAAGAAGGGACAGAAACAGAAAGACAGAAGAGGGCCAGAGAAAGAATAAAGGGAATAGACGAGCGACGGAGAATTTTCTTTTATGGGTTTCCTGTGAGAAATAAAACTGTAACCTGGGATTATCTTAAAATCGGAGTTGACTCATTTAGTGCAAATGAGCTTTGAAAAACCCGCGCAAACAAGACAAACATACTCACAAAGAAGAGGGAAGGGGGAGAGGGAAGGAAAGAGACAGATTAACAGAAAGAGGCGGTAAGGGAGAAGAAACGGGGAGGTAGGGGAGATGAGAGAGTGGGAAATGAGGGGATGTAGAAAGAGGAAAGTGAGCGAAAGGAAAGAGAGATAGGGGAAGTGAGGGAAGGAGAGAGATGTAAAGGGAAATGATAGGGGAGGAGTGAGGGAGAGTAGAGAGAGGGGAGGGGTGAAGAACAGAAGAGAGAGGAGGATGAGGGAGAAGGAGAGAGCGGAGGATGAGGCAGGGAAGAAAGAGGCGAGGTGGAGGGGAGGAGAAGGACAGGGGAAATGACGGATATGGGAGAGAATAGGCAGTGAAGAGAAGGAGAAATAGGAAAGTGGGAGAGAGAAGACAAAGTGAGGGGAAGAAGAGGGATAGCAAAAAAATGAGGTGAAGAAGAGAGAATGAGGGGAAGTAATGTGGGAAAGAACAGAGAGAGACAGGAAGTGAGGGGAGGAGAAAGAGATGTGGAGTGAGGGAAAGGAGAGTGGGGGTGAAGGAGAGCTGACATAGGGGGACGAGGGAGAGGAGAGGGAGAGAGAGGGGGAAAGTGAGGGAGAAGAGAGAGAGGGGGGAGAAATGAGGGAGAGAAGAGAGACGGGTTGGTGGAGGGGAGTGAGAAAGAGAAGAGAGAGGCGAGGTGAAGGAGAGGATTGAGACAGGGGAGGTGAAGGAGAAGAGAGAGGGCGAGGGGACAGAAGGAAGTAAGGGAAAGGATATTGAGGGGAGAGGAGAGAGAAAGTAAGGGGAAGGGGAGAGGCGAGGGGAGGGAGGGAGGGAGGGAGGGAGAGAGGGAGGGAGGTAGAGAGGGAGGTAGAGAGGGAGGGAGAGAGGGAGGGAGAGAGACAGAGAGAGAGACAGAGAAAGAGACAGAGCGAGCGCAGCCAACCATCTTACTGCTATAATTCTTCCAACAGGTGCATTTCTCATACCATACTTCCTGATGCTGTTCCTGTGCGGCATCCCCCTGCTGCTGATGGAGCTGACTCTGGGCCAGTACACACGGAGAGGGCCAATTGGTGCCTTAGAGAAGATATGCCCCCTTTTTAAAGGTGCTTGATTAACTACAAAGTGTGCATATTTCATGTATTGTTTCGATGAAGCATTGCAATAGCATATATATCTACTTTTGAGTTTTTCCTTCCATGTCGTTTCTGTTACAATTTCCTCTTTTTTTTTGCAGGTGCTGGTGTGGGAACTGTGATAATGTCCTTCTTGCTTGGAACCTACTACAATGTCATCATCGCATGGGCCATCTTTTATCTCTTTCAGTCATTTACTATAGATTTACCCTGGCGAAATTGCAATACAACTTGGGCAGTAACTTGCTTTGATGATTACGGTGTTAATATTACTGCCCCGAACGGTACCAAGTCTGCTACTGAAGAATTTTTTGAGTAAGTATAAAAAAAAAACTGCTATTTCTACTTTGTTTTTGTTGGGGCTGTGTATATATAATTTTACTCGACATAGAAGGTAACAAGAGATTGTGTAATTTAATCTGTAATTAGTGTCAGTCACAGTTTAAGCTGATGACGTATTTTACCTCTGCAGTGAAGTAGTCCTCGAGAAGAGTTCAGGCATCGAGGAGATGGGGACGATGAGGCTGGAGCTGGTGCTGGCGCTCCTGGGGGCCTGGGCGCTCGTCTACTTCTCGCTCTGGAAGTCTGTGAAGTCCTCCGGCAAAGTAAGGCTTTAGGGGCAGCATTGCAAGGGAAATCACACACGCACACACGCGCGCGCATACGCATACACATACACACACGCGCGCGCATACGCATACACACATACACACACGCGCGCA